GTTACACCTGCTGTTTTTTAACATAGCCTCAGCATCCTCATATCATCTGCTCTTCTTCAAGAAAGAATTTGAGAAAAAGTGATTCATTCATCAAAGCAGATGGTCCTTTTTCTAGGAGGATGCAATCATACGCAACTTCAGATTCCCTAATCTCAATGCAGTCTTCCCAAGACTCCCAAACTGAGGGGAATTCATGATCTTCTGCAAGTTTGCAATTCTCAGGGGCAACAGATGGAAAGAAAATGAATGCAAAAGTCAGCAAATGTCATCTCCCTCTGGAGAAGCTTTATTTCTCTATGTTTTTAAGATTTTTAATTCTACAGAATTATAGATACAGCCTAACACCAAGGATTATACAGATACAGCCTAACACCAAGGACCAAGCTACACAAAATAAGAAAATCCTGAATTCTTTATTGCTTCTTCATCACTGAAGCTACTGGCAATGGGCATACAATCAGACCTTTAAAAAATAATGAAGCAATCTGCCATTGATTTCATTGTGAACACTGTTGAAGCAAAAAGCTTTATCATCTTCCTATGTTAGCGATAAGTAAAACAGTTTAATGTTACTGGAACTTCATGTTTTCTTGGCATCATTACTGGTGTGATATTCTGCAAGGGAATGTTAACAGACATGCAGACTGAACAAATGGTAGTAACAAGCTAAAAAATCTCAGCCGCAGTCAAAAAAATTGCTGATACAAGATCAGAGTGGAAATAAAATTAAGATATCTTCGCTTTTATGCTTTATGCTTCAAATTTCAGTGATTTATAAAATCATGAAGAATGCTGCAGTACATTTACTACCTGAGCACTCTTCTGGGCACACAGAACACTACGCCACCTCCTGCGAACACCTAGGGCTGTATCATTATTTCATAATTGTACTTCACACTGATGATGACATTTGAAGGCAAACACCCTAGCAATGTAATCACATCACAGAAGAACCTGGTCATAACTCTTCTAAGTTAGTATCTAGCACTATGAATCATCTACAAAGATAATGATTTTCCAGTACAAGTATGGCTCTGGCACAACCCTTGGAAGAACATTGGTTTTGTAGTAGATTTTCATCACCTAGATTAAAAAGGACAATTTTTTTAAGGTATTTTTTTTTAAAAAAAAAATGCAAATTATGAAAAATGTGTCAAAGAGCCAATTTTTTTTTTAAAAGAAGCAATCCAAGTAAACATTTACTCTATGGCAAGAATCCTTTAAAAGAAATACATAGAAATTTTAATTGAGCTTTCACTTCAGGTGACTCAATGAAGCAATTAGGTAAAAGGATTGGCTTCACTCTGTATTGTCAAAACATAGCTAGGTTTGATAAACACCTCCTTCTGAAGCTTGAAAATTGAGAAGGGATAATCACATCCAGAATTTGTCACTTTGCCAAGGACAGTGCAAGTGAGGCATTTCCATGGCATAGAGAAATATTTGGAAAGGCAAATATTCTGGATGAAAAGGTTTGCATTTGGCCACTCAATCTTTAGCCACAAATCATTTAAAGCTGCCATTGGAAGTGATGCCTAATGGAATGGGCCATGAGCAATGAAAGAAAGCTTCTCTTTGAATGTTGGTGTCTTGGTCCAATTCCTCCTCTAGAATAATTTTCATCACCAAATATGCCCTTGAAAATAATAATATTTGAGGGAGAAAATGAACTGGCTGTAATTCTGAACTACATTTGTATTCATCTCCTCTTATAAAGTACCACAGAAGTGACAGAGGTAATTTCAAATTGTAACTGTAGTAGGTGTATATATATATAGGAATAGTTCACCTATTCAGTACCCGAGCCACAGCGCTGCGGATGACGAGGGACAGCTCTACACCCCTGTGCTCAGCTGTGTTGGGGAGGGAGCACAGCATGTTCCTAGTGCCAAGGCCTGCTCTGAAACACAACATTATGGGGCACAGGGAGGGGAAGATAAACCTCATCAGTATCTCAATGCCTGTTATATATTCATTATCAGGAAAGTCAGCCCTTCATTTTCAGGGCACAGAAAGTTCTGATTTGGAGACCTCAAGAAAGAAAGCAACTTCCTCTTGGATATCACTACTCTATCATTTGGTAATATAAGATAGCTAGAATTGAAACTGTAAGAGGACATTAAGCTTTTCTTTTCTTTTTTTTTCCCTCAGAAAGTTGAAGACGTTTGTCACTTTAGAATAATGATAAAAATTCATCTTTGAAATGCTTTGACATTAAATGTCACTAGTTACTTCTCTGGTGACAGACAAGATCAGCAAAACCTCTAATAAACTTAAAACCTTGCAGCTCCACAATACTCATTTACTTGTTATTTTGATGTGAAGGAAACTTAAAGGAAAGGCTGAGGACGTGCAGGAGCTGGGAAAGGGAGGACTGTCTTATACAATAATTAAACAGTAATAAATAATAAAATTTTTAGGAAAGTCTTCTAGTCTCATGTATGCATATTCAAAGACATTTTGTAGGTGTGATTCAATACTTGGCTTCACTCCCTTACAGAAGACATAAACACTTAATTCTCTCACTTCACTGTAACCCTTGCAAGGGGTATTCATTTCATTTATACTGCAAATATTTGTAAGCCATACCAACCTTTTATCTGCATCCTGCAGTTAAAAGTCACCTGCAGCTACTGTCAGAAGGTACATTTTTATTGTTTCTGCCATGAGAAAAGAGGAAGTAATCAAAGCAGCTGGCTGTGGGATATGCCATCAGCAGCGCAGCTTGTAAAGAAGAGGCTGATTCACGCAACGTCACTCAATGTGTGACCTCCTGGATCACCACTGCCTCCAGGGCCACTCTCCCTTCTCAGTCTTCTGGACCAGGTCCCTATGGGATGATTGCAGGAGACTTATTTGAAATGATACAGATCTCTACTGCACCAATAGCACAGCAAGGCAATGCTGAATATGATGTGAACTTTTGTCTACAAGGAAGGAAAAAAAAAAAATGGGATTAAAGAGAATAGGTCACTTAGGAGCAGTTGAAGAAATTCTATCTGCTTGGTCTGGTAGCTTTGGAAGATAGGAACTTCACACCTTTCACTTTTACAAAAAAAAAAAAAAAAAAAAAAAAAGAAGGGTTTTCTGAAGAGATGATCTTTCTTTCAAAATTTTAAGAGTTTGCTGTGCTCAACTGGCTTTATTCTCTAGCTTTCTAAAGAAAGGTTTAGTGTTTCTTTGCATAATTCTTCCAATAAAAAAAATAGGACAAGCAGAAAAAATGGATTAGTCACTTTGGTACCACAGTGCAGCTGAAAGCATTATAGCTAGATGTCTAAAAGTGTCTCATCCTAGATTTTGGGGTCTGATTTTTACTCTTTGAAAAACCTAGATCTGCCTCTTAAGTAGACCCAGAAAAGGCCAGTTCTGATTAACAGCAGAAATCCTGTATTTTCTTGTAGTTATATTAGGAAGACAGTGCAACTATAAACACTGCCACAGTTCTTTTGCTGCAAATATAACCACCACCACCATTTAAACAAAGCGAACGCCTGCGTTACGGGAGGCAGCCCTCCCCAAGCAGCAGGGATGTGCTGAACCGGGAGGAAGACGCCCTGCACTCTGAACAGCAACTCACTCTTTGGAACTGGCTCGCAGTGAAACATGCCTCTACTGTACTCTTTTCAGTCTTCACAAATGCCCAGATTCACAGTTTTTCAGGAATCTAATCCAATTCACTGTTACTCCCTTCACAGGATAAATCACTTTGTTTTTAAGACCTCAAGCGATTTCTATATATAAGAAAAAAAAAAGTTATCATATATTTTAACACTCATACAAACAAAGCAAAGGTTGATTACCTAAGTCAGGTTTTCCCACAAGACAAATGTATCATTCTATTTCCCAGAATTCTAGTATTAGCTGAAAGACTCTGTTTCACATACTATCATTTATTTGCGTTATAAGCTAGAAGCATTACAGGCAGAACAGAAAAAAAAAAATCTTTTCTTTCTTATTCCACTATAGCCCAGCTACTCTTACTATCAAAATCAGCAAGAAGAGTTTGATTTCAAGTAGTGGATTCTCCTGAACTGAGCCACAACATCCTAGTAAGCCACAGCCAACCAACCATAGAGTGGAGTGTTTAGCACAGTGGCAGCACTCACCTAATAGCCCAACAGTAATATTATTTTCAGATTTCATGCCACAGACACCAATGAGACCAAGGGCAGAAAACAGCACGGTGTTAACAGATGAATCACATACAATGTCCAAGCGTAGAAGAAGACAGGGAGAAGTTGCCCACTCTGCAGCTTGGCTGAGCTCAGACGACGTTCTCTCTCTCTTTTTCCTTTTAAATAGCTACTTTTAGTTATGAAGCACTCACATGCTTAGAATTTATTTCTTCCTGTCAAGCTTTTGTTCAAAATGAAGACGGCAAAACTACATGAACACACTAAGACCTTCACGCATTCCCCTAATCCAAATCTCAGAATTCCACTAAACATTCCCTGGCAACAGCCACATTATAGAACTGACTTGCATTGTTAGTCCATGTTATTGCTCATTACTTACCATGCTAGAGTTAACAGACCTAGGCCAGGGCATTAAGAATTATCCATACCCCTCTCTGTTTCAAAGTGCCAGAAAGACAACATGAATAGAAAACTCCATAGAAATTTCTTTCCACAGTACACGAGACAAAGAACTAACAAAAAATAGCTTTAGCACTAAGAAGAGATTCTACTGGTTACTAAAAGGCAACTTTTGTAAAAGGCATTTGGGTAAGAATCATAAATAAACTAAGATGAACATTTTCATAAGCTTAACTACCAGCCTGATGCCTTTAGCAAAATGTAATATAACAAACTAGCCCTATTGCTATATCAATGATTTTTTTCTCCATTAAATATCAACAAGCACTTATACTCCCTTCCAACGCCAGTGGCAACTCATTTTATGAAGATAAATTAAATTTTAATTTTCATTTTTAGTGAATAATCCTTTTATGTCTGTGCTGTATATGAAAGTATAATGCAATTAAGAGAAGCACCTACCTTTTTCAGGAACCGAACTCCATAGGTGAATATATAAAGGTAAAATGTAAATCGCCACCTGCAAAAGGTACAATAGATTAAGATACCAAGCTCCCATGCTGTGCAGTTTAACATACGATCCCTTATAACACTGCCAAGCCAACACACACTGCTCGCATTAACAGATACTGAAGTAAATGTTTGGTCTGGTTTTCTAAGGCTTTTGTTGTGCTCATCTTTTCCCCACTTGCCATTATCTCTGAGAAAATACATCTAGTTTCAATATAAAATGACAGGAAAAAAAAAGTTAAGGATAATTAAGCTCCTGAGAGTTTCATGCAAATTATCAAGACTGTAGAAGGTAGAGGATACTTAGCATCCTTACTGCAGGGAAGTTCACTTGCTACTTGGTCATCGGTCTTGAGGAAAAGAGGCCAAGACAGTCATCACCAGTCCCAGGATGGAAAACACTTGTTTAAACATGTATCTTGTGCTTCCCAGCTCCCTGGTTACTCTGTCTCTGTGTTCGAGAGGTGCTTGGGATTTCACTTGCTTACTTGGTACTTCCTTTGTATGGCCTACTACCTGAGTGAGGAGTGTTAAACTATTTGTCTGCAAAAATCTTTGATTTCCTGTTTAAAACTTTAAAGTTGCTGAGCAATTAGAGGAAAAGAAAAACCTACTGCAGTGCTTCTGTATGGCCTGACTTCCTCACAGGACAACGATAACTAGAAAGTTAATGAAGCTTTCAGTGGGCAGTGCCTGAGTGCTGTATATCGAAAAAAGGGCTTTTGTAAGGAAAAGCATCACAGGGAGCCAGCTCTGCATGGCAGCTTTAGCACTTCACTTTGAGCATTGGCACTGCCCTACATTGACTCATACAGTGTAAGTAGTTAAACCAAATCCTCACAAAGCTTTCTTGTTTTTAAATTCTCTTCAATATCATTTTTATTCCACATCTTTCAGGCAAAATTCATAACACAGCTGAGGATGTTTTAAACTTCTGCTGAGTGATACAGCACCCACAGAGGAGTTCAGAAGCATTCATAAGTATTTGAAATATGTTAGAAGTTACATTTTAGATGGTGTAACCCAGGAATTGCCATCAGCAGAATTTTCTGAAGGAGATTGTTTGTAGTATTTGGTTCAGCTATGATCTCAGAAAATTGAAAAACCCTATCCTGAAACACATCGGACTGGAAAATACAGGTTTTCCAGTATAACATTCTAGTTGTGCCCAAAGCTACTGCCTATGGTAAAAATACAGATTGCCTCACAGGACAATTCCTTAGAGATTCACAAAAAATGTTGGAGCCAAAAGCTGCCAGCCATGCCAGGCCTGCCACAGGCTCCAGTTGCTCAAATGCTACGAAGATGATATACATACAGAAATACATAATAAAATATACTATTTATCTTCTTTCCTCTTTTTCTACAAAGATGGCATACACACAGAAATATATAATAAAATATACTATTTATCTTTTTTCCTCCTTTTCTCAACCTTCCCCAATGAGTCTACCTGGGCTGAGCATTAAAAAGTCTTAGAACTGGTTTTTCTAAGGAGTCATAGCTGATCAAAGTGTAGTGTCAATAGAAAACAACAAAAATAGAAACCATCTCATTCTAGATGAATGACATCCACAAAAAGCTATTAAATTAACTTCTGGATTTATGAGACTGTGATAAATTTATAAAGAAGGAAGGTCTGAATTGTCCTCCAACATCCTGTTGTCATTAATCTGCTAGCTCTGGTAGCAGCAATGCTGGAAAGGGCTTCCCCATTGCTCTGCATCAGGCAGACACCTTTTTTTTGTGGTCTTGAAAGGGAAATCCTGCCTGGTTCAATACCTAGGTTGGAATCTCAACTTCATGCAGAGAAATTTGAGCTGTTTACCATGTTATTTTGCCCCTAGAAAGTGGTTTATTGATGTAATTAACAGTGAAACTTCAACAGTCCTGTGTGAAACGGATGAATTCAAGAAGATCTGAGAGAAAATTAAGCATATATTATTATTCAGTAAGTGCATACATCTTGTGCAACTAGCTAAGTAACCATGTACAACACATATTATACATTAACTACAAATTATACACCTAAAAGCAATGAACTTCACATCTGGAGATACTTCATTTGTAACTTTCTAAACCTAGGAAAAAAATGACAATAATGTAACTAGAGGCTTGTTGCATATGAATTATGTACACTGAGCATGATAAAATCTCCATTAAACCAAATCAACTGTTAAGATCGTTTATACAATAAACGAGTGGCATTTACAAGACATTATAGTCTGATGAAATAGATGTACAACAAATGGACAAAATTAAGGGCCATTTATTCTCATCAGCAGCTTCAGCTTTAGAGTCAGAAAAGACAGGAGTCTATCTGTAGCTGCTATCAGTAATTTAACTGCAAATTTACCTATAACCTTTTACACAAGGTCACATCCAGATCACACCGTCTCTGAAGCACACCAAGAACTGAATTAGTAGTCCCTTGTCTGACTGGTTACCTATAGGGTAGTAATCTAAATTATCTAATTAATCTAATCAATCAATTATCTAAAACAATGTTAACGCTTTATTGGTCTATGAGCAGAACTAACTTCCCTTCAACTTCCACACTTACTCAGTAACCTAGCAGAAACAACAAATGCCCAGACTTCGGAAAAAATGTAGAAAATCACGTCTCCCCCAACGCCTTCCCCCAACCTCCTGAAGGGTTTATCAGTCACAAAGCAAGGCAAGATTTGTCTTATGATATCTTTTGTCTGCTGCCCCCTCCCTGCCAGCTATATTTGCTCATCCAGCAAAACACTGTGGTAGAAGCAGCCCATTCTGTGCAACTTCCACCTCAATTCATTTAATTGAAAAGAGGAGCGAGCTGAAGCTGCTCTGCTTTGTGACAATTAGCTCTGGCCGTCAGACACGAAACACTATCAGTCTGTTGTACAGAGACATAAAATTTGAATGATCCAAATACGCTCAATAAAGTGCACTGCTCGAAAGAAACCTTAGGTTAATTTAAATCGCGATGAAACCACTCAAGGAGCAAGTGTTCTGGAAGACTCTGTCTGTTCACTCTCCAGAAGATTCATCAGCTTCATGTCAGCTCTGCACCAAGCTGCCTACAAGGCTTCCCATCTGAACTGGCTTGTGTGTGGTCTGCTTGGGCCCAGAACGAGTGAGCTCCAGCCGGCTGACACGAGGCCTCTCAGGCACATCCTGATGTGCGCATCTGGGGGCATATCAGGCTGGCTGTTGTGTTTCAAATATAGACATGACACACTACATAGAAGGGCCAAACTAAAAAGTCACTCGCTAATAACAGGAAATCTTCCCTTTCAAAGGAATGCTCTAAAGCAGTGCACAAGTACAGCAACAGATCTGACTGCTCCTGTTCAACCTGTGCCTTCTCGATCCAGAGTTCAGCCCAAATTTCTTAACCTCTCAACCTTTTCAGCTTCAGGTAACTAATGGAATTCCAAAGATGCTCCAGCATGATGCAAAACATTAAGTCAGACAAGCTGGAGAGCCTCTGCCAATTTATCTATCTCAACATGCCCAATTCAGCAAAAAACATTTAAATGTCCATCCAACTTTTAACACTTAGTAGTCAGTATACTGACTTCGGGCATATCCATAACAATGGTCACATTACCACACTGTTAAATCGTGGCCTTAAAATTTCACTCCAAAATTTTGTTCCAAAAACTATGAAATTAAGCCTCAGCTAATAAAAACACATTGTTTGAGAAATGAATGACAACAGCTCCACACAGATGCACTTTGCAGAGCTTGACGTGTGTCAGTAAGACGCCCTCCTGCCCATGCACTCGCTGTGCAGCCGAGAGTGCTCAGCAGGGACACCCTCTCAGCAAAAGGACCTTAGGTTGACAACTGTAAGTTAAAATACACCGAAGAGCTTATAAGTGCATGGTGGAGCATGAGTAAATAATATGTAAGGCTGGAGAGGTACAAGGCCTCTCTCCCTCTGCAGTATTCCCTTTCTTTTTTTCCTCACTCCCAAGGTGTGAATAGAGGCAGGCTCCACGTGCAGCAGCTGGGGTGCCGGGGTCGTGTCGTGTCTGCGCAGGTCCCGAGGGTGCCATGCCCGGGCACCCAAACCCTGCTGCCTGCTTTATCTTTAATGATAATTTGCTGCATTTCTACATTCGTGCAAAGCCTGGCAGATACAATATGATGCGCAAATTCCTGCGCTACGGTTAAGCAGAAGTTATTTCTTCTGGTCTGGAAGCAGGATATAGTAGTAGATATCTCACTGTTCTCCAACATGTACAAAATAGCCAATACAATAAATTGAAAAATCTTCATTGCTTTCCTCTTAAATTTTATGGCTTAGGATTTGGCTGTCTTCTGATTTTTCTCTTGGCTGGAGTTTGAAACAGTTATTTAATATTTAATATTACAGCACCACTTGAGATCAGCACTGTCCTAAATCTGTATGCTCAAAATGGAGCTCTGAAATTATTCAGAGCAAAATTCAGTAGTGCACGAAAAAAAAGTAATGAATTTTCAAGTGATGCAATTTTATAAATAACAAAGTATGTTTATATAATTAGACCAGAAAAGATTCACAGTTTAATAGGTGTACTGGTAATTCCCCCTGGGTTATGTAGCCTCTGTTTAATAGCTTTTAATAGTTATGCGACTGTTCTATTTGATTGCTAAAAGGGCAACCTGAAAAAAAACCTTTGATAAGGCCTTAGAGACCCATGAGCATCCCCCAGTCTTGCCCTAAGGCAGGGCAATATATCATCTGAAAAACATGGGAAGGTGCACAGAGTGCCCAGCCACGGATGCCATGCGCCCTTCCTTGGAATGAACTAGCTAAGTTCTTAGCCACATGCTGCGGGCAGAAGCCACACAAGCCTTTGAATGAGAACTGGTCTCTGGAACCTGGATCTCTGCTCTCCTTCCTTACTTGTAATCTCCCAGTCACCAACTGCCCCTCTTTCCAGCGCTCTGTTCTAGTTCTAGAGGAAAAAAACAACTACAAATCTTTCAAAGAGCACCTGCTTTTCACCTAGTATTGCTGTCCTCGCCACAATGGCC